TATGAATACTGGTTAATTTGTTCAATAAATCAGATTAAGCTTTTCCTTCTCTCTCTCTCTCTCTCTTTGAATTGCATTAAACTATTGTTAATTGACTGAAGAGGGTATTTTTCAATTATTTGTTCATCACGCACAACTTGTTTTACTTAAACATAAGTCTAATTACTTATTACTTATTACCTGAGTTGATATTTGCGTCAAAAAAATCGGAAATTTCTGGATTTCTATTGATACTTGAATTGTTTAAATAACAATCAATATAGTCAATTTTTTTCTATTCAAAAGTTAGATTTAAAGAGATAAAATGGTTCCATTGAAATGTTCCAATTGCCTTGAATAACTAGTTAGAGTTAAACTTGACTTTTCAATTTAATGAGTGAACCTCTTAATGCTGAATTGAAAAAGATTATTTTTGATGAGTTTCATTAATATTTACCTTAAAGTGCATACTTTGTATAATATTTTATAACATTCATCAGAGTAAATTTTCCTTATCAAATTAGACATCAGTTGACTGTTGCTGCTATTATTTGTACCAAATCATTTCTTCTTCAGGAAAAAAAGGAAATAACTATTTTGCCTCAAAATTAATATTAGATATCAATTGGTTTTGATGATAATTTTGGGCCACAAAAAGCAAACGAAAGTAATGATGATTAGAAGGTAAAATCAAAAGGAAAAGAGAAAGAAAATGAAAGCCAAAAATTACCGAAAGGTTTTATTTGGAAGCAATTTCAACTGAAAAAAAAGGTTAACTCTTTTCACTAGTCTCATGTAATTTCACCAATTTCCTATTTCAATATCCAATTTATGAAATGTGTTATGGAATTTTGGTTCAAACCAAAGTCTCGATTTTTTTCTTCTTTACTCTTTTTGTCTCGTTCGGTCAATCCATTTGTCCTCTTCTCACTCCCTGTTGGTCCATTGGTTGATTAATGTTGCAACTGAATGTGAATATTTTTTTGCTCTTCTCTTTTTACTCCCAGTTAATGAGCCTTACACTCGGCTATCATTTGGTTTCCCATTCTTCATTAATGAATCAACTGAAAGATTCGCTGAATGGTCTTCGATTGAGACCCTCTCAAGGTCACTTCATCATTCACCTTTTGGAATCCCTTATGGCAGTGCTCAAGTTAACAATGGATTCAATGGAAACTCATGAATCTTCTCAACTTGCTCTTGATATTATTTCCTCACTTCTCAATAAACCTGAATCAATCAATAGTCTAACGGTGAGTAGACCATCATCATTATCAACCTTACATGAGAAGGTAAAATCATCATGAAACAATGTTTGATGTGAAATCTGTTATCTCACAATCTGATGAGTATAATCAGTAAGAATGAAATTTTTTCAAAACTCAAAAGAAGCAAAATTTTCGTTTTCCTTTTTACCTCAACTCATGTTATCAGATTCAATATTGTTGTTCAGTAAATGAGTTTTCCACCTTTGAAACGGATTTAGCTCATGAGGTTGAGCAAAAATTCAATTCAAATGTAACCAATCGATTCGAAACTTTATTCTTTTAGTGAATTTTTTGATGAAAAACTGATGAAATTTCGAAGTTTTTCGCCGAGTTTTGCTGTAATTTGTTTTATCCACAAAAATTCATTAATGACACTATCATGAATGGTTCAACATGCAATGAAAAACAATTAAATTACGAAAGGATACAATGGTTGATAAGGGATGGATGATGTTGCGATCCTGATAAGAGTTGCTGATGGAAATAATAATGAATGAAAATTGAGTTGAACAAAACAGAAACTATCATATGAACAGGAAGTAAGTCGATTGATGTTATTTCATGATCATAATGAAAGGTACCATGGAGACTTTTATCTGATAAATTGAACCTTTTCTTTCGTTCTCTTTCCGTCTTTTTTACTCTTCTCACCCATCTTTATTAACATACATTATACATTGATAAATATCTATATAAATAGCAAAATAAAGATTGTCAATTGGCTCATTTAGGGTGAGAAGAAAATCGAAAGATGAGAAAATCAATCGAGAAAATATTAAGAGAAGAAGAAAATTTTCGATCATTAATTTATCCGATTCTCTGTATCGAGTCACATTTGAAAATCAATCTGAAAATGCTTACCTTTTGCAACCTTTTTTGTCAACAGTAAAAGCCAAGAAAGTGATATGAAGAAATCCGAGGATAAATAGAAATGGAAGAGAAAAAATTCCAAGTAAAAATCACTCGAATTCTCAAGAGTAGTTAGTAACTTTAGAATAGCCTTTATTCACAGTTATCCCAATAATTTGCTATCAATAACATTACCTTCACTCCCAGTAACTCTTGGAACTCACTCCCAGCATTCACTCCCTGTTTTTACTTGCAATGATGATTCACTTTTGAGCAAATTTCTTTTCTCTTTCCATTTGATATTGCTTATTCGTTTGATACTGTTGTCACTTTAGAAGTTCATTGATCACTTGCATGTGTTTGTTTTTCAGGCCAACACGATTCAATCAACCTTTAAGCTTGAAACTTGAAGAGTAGAAACAACAACATAATAAATTGTCATTCAACAACTTGAACCATTATTTTACGAGCACAACAGTAATGATAAAAGTGAACCTTTTTTGTTTCACTATTGTGAATCTTTGGTGATTTATTGAGCTTTTCTGGTGGCAAAATTATCATCAATTTAAGAATAGAAATGAAAAGTTTATACAAAAAAAACAACTTCTCATGAAAAAGGTAAACAAAAGGACTGAAAGGAAAAGATATTTTCAGGTGTTGAAAGCAAAGTAACAATGTTTCATGAAAGAGTAAAAGAAACGAATAAAATTGTAAATTTTTATAAATGAACCAATTTTTCGTTAAATGCTAAATGAAAATTAATGATTCAACTATTATCTTGTTTACACGAGTTTATCATGTTGAAGATAATTGACGTTTCAATTTTCAGTCTCAGTTGAATAAAAATGGATTCCAATTTTGCCACTCACTAGTTAACTGCTAATTATCAGACAATTTTAGTCTTTGATTAATTTGTTTTATCCGTTTTTCGTCTTCTGTCATCGTGTTACAGGGTCTGGCCAATTTACATCGTCTACTAATGGAGTACAGTTTATTGGCCAGTAAAGTTAAAAAGGGTCAACTTAATCATCAAATAACTCGATCCAATTTTGTGGTTGAAATACTTAATCTGGATCATCGTGTAAACCTTTTTATGCCTTCCACTTTAAACTTACCAACCCTAACAACATCAACAGCCTCAGCCTTTTCATCGTCATTATCATCATCCACTTCATCACTGTACAACAATAAAGTAACACAATCATCATCACCATCATCAACAGCAACAATACCAAGCTGGTTAACTGATAGTGTTCAAGTTGACATTGCTTCATTACCTGGTTATCATGGTAAAGAGTCAACAGTTGAGCATGAAAATGATTCACTGAAAAGCGTTTTAACAGTTTTCTATCAAAATTTAACTTCATTTTGGCCAAAAAACATTGTCATTCACAAAGAGTGAGTAAAATTTCATTATCTTTTTCTTCAAATTAAAAAGTTTCATCTCATCCTGAATATCGAATTTCAATGAACAAGATTTTTCTTTTCGATAACAGACTCTTCCCTTTCAATCCAAATACCTAAAGTTTAATAAATCATTTCTAATTGTTGTCTTTCAAGTGACTAACAATATTGATTCACTAATTGATTTGAAATGATTTATTTTCAAAGTGTAAAGTGATGAAGAGGAAAATTCAATTAAAGCTTCATCAGCAGATAGAAATTGAATTTTCACTGAAAACCTCTTGATAAAGAGTCAATCGATGATATTGTTTTTTAAGGAAACAAAATCGATCACTTGATTACTCGTCGCTCAACAACTTTATAGCAACATTGTTATACATTGTCATTTCATTTCGCCTTATCTTCTTCACCCACAGTTGAGATAAAAAACTTGTAATATCAATAAAATTTGATAACACGAAGAAACAAGTCGTGAACATGAACATCAATGTTTTGTCACAAAAGGGCAATAAAAAGATTCGAATACCTTGTAATGTACAACATTTTTTTCCAACAATTTTCTTCGACTTTTCCATTTCTCGATTCCATCCTTTACCTTTAATCTTTGGGTCAACCATTAACTCCCAGCTAATGATGAACCAAAGACTAAATTTTCAGTCAAACATTTTCTCAACTTATTCAACTTTAAACCAGATAAATCACTCTCATCATTTAAACAGAAAAGTGAACCTTTTAGAGTCAAACAGTTTTACTTACCTGTAAGGTAATGAACAAATTGCCACTGTTTATACATGAAGTGAAGCAAAAGGATAAAGTCAAATTTACAGAAAAAAGAGCGAAAAGAGCAAAAAGATAATTCGTTTTCTTTTCTCTTGCAATTTGTAAAGTTTTTCCGAGAATTTTTTTCTAACTCACTGGGATTTTCCAAAGCATTTTCAACTTGTCAGTATTTTTCCACTGGGAGTGAATGCTATATTTGGGTGTAACTGGAAGGGAGTTGGAAATGGTTAGTGATCAGGATAAAGATGAGAATCAGATGGAGGAGGGAAAGGGGTGAAAGGGAAAGAAAGAGGATGCTAAGTGGAATAGCAAAGAAAATAGATTGTTCTTGAGTAGAAACGAAAAGGCACAAAAAAAGGAATCAATTTTTTTTTCTCTTATCCTGACTTCGTTTCCAGTTGTGATTACTGGGAACAAGTTACTTACTCTTTCTTTTTTTTACTTGCCATTGGAAGTTTTTTTACTTGCAACTTGAAATTGTAACATTAGCCTTGATTCAGTTGAGCTTTTGCCCTCTCAATGCTGACTTCATTAATCTTACAATGGTTCAAACTATTACAAGATGCTATTATGTTTTTGTGAGTCTATCTGAATAGCTGTTCAAACAAAAAGAAAGTGAAGAAATGAAGAAAAAAGGTTGAATGGAAAAGAAAAGTTTCAAACTGCAAATATGATGGAAATGTCAATGGTGATAACTCAATTTTGGAAATGAAGGTTGGCGAAATTTGTTCGAACTCCAAGGAAGAAACAGATTGCAATAGTTCTTAATTGGAGTTATGCAGTTCTCAATATTGTTCAACTTGGAAGTGATTGAGAAAGTTGATAATGAAAGGTGATCAAAGCTATAATTTGAGGTTAAAGATTATGGCTAGTTTTGATGAATAGTTTCACCATTCAGTTAATAGCTGGTCAAGCCTTAGTAGTTCATGTGAAGTCATTATCAATGGGATTGCAATTGAAAAATGCTTTGAAACTCATTTTTCATCACATTTTTCACTCCCAGCCATTTTCATCAAAAGTCCATCATCAGATAATATCGAGTTATCTTAGTCAATAAACAAATTTGAATAATTCGAAATATTTCGATCAATGCTACGAACATCGATTTCGACTTAAGATCGTTGACACTTAATATTATGAAAACTTCATTTTTCAAATATCAAAGTTTAAGAAGGAAATATGAAATCGATTGCAAGAAAATATATCAAATATCATGTCAGTAAAGATTTCTGATTTTTAAATTCATTAAAAAATGATGAAAATGATCAAAGCATCTCAGGACAATAATTATGTAAATTTTAGGTTTGTGTTAGTTTTGAAATTTTCATTGTTTCATTATGACTCAACTTTATGTTTTGAATTGTAACTAATTTTTCGATTAATTCAATTGTTGCGGAACATAGGAATTGGTGATTTAAATAAAACTATATTATGTTGGTAGATATTTGACAGCATGAAAATTTATTAAAATTGAAATTTGCATAACAATCAAGGAAATTTTTGAGAAATAGAAACATTCTGAATAAATCATTTAAAATTATAATAAAAATTTCTATTACAACTTTCAATATGAAACTAATGAAAAATATGTAATTTTAACATTTAACCTTATTGATTGCTTTTTTTCTTGATGCAGTTTTACCGATGAAGAATATCAGATTAACTCGAAAGTTGTTACTGTTGCCTTGGTCCATCAAGCCCATTATATACCGTTAAAGCCTTACCCTCTACGCGTTACCGCTCACCTACGACATCATTCATCCTTAGAGGTAAAGTATAAACATTTATAATAAATTCTATCCAAGAAATGAGAAAATTTTCCAGAATCGATGAAATCTTGTTTAACAATTCATCCTCTCGATGAAATCCTAACTTCTAGCAACAAGTAGTCTCATCCTTTCAACGTAATTATTCATATAACTCCAATAATTTTTACCATCTTACTCTGGGCAATGAACTCTAAAACATTTAAAGTCGCTCTTAAAGCGTGGTAATTAACCGAACACATCGTAAGCAAGAAATTGCGAAAATTTATTTGAGGAATAGAACTTGGAAAATTTCCAATCAATTTTTCAATTCGATAAATTATTTACCCTAAGACTGAATTATGTTTCCGAAATTTTCATATTTCAAACTTATTTCATTCCAATCATAAACTCAAAACTTAAAAATATTGATTTCAATGAAAATGTGATTTCATATCTGACTTGTGTCTCCATCTGACATTTGAGATTATAAATAGCAAAGATAATCCAGTTCACATCTTTTTGCAAGTTTTAATGGGAAAGGAAACAAAATTGAGATGCAAACAAAACACTGAACCGACAAAAATAGCGTCAAAGTTTTTGATCTCTAAACGCGAAGAAAGCACGTTTAGATGTCTTGACAAACTCGCAAACAGTCAAACAATTACATCAAGCATCACACACGTTATAAAGCAGATTGAAAATTCAGTTTATTATTCTTTCTCGTCAATAGATTTCAATGTTAAAAAGAGCTTTCTCATTTGCTTTTCATCAAAATTATGCAAATCAAACAAAAAAAAGATTAAATATCTATCATTAAATAGTGTAAACTTTATTGGTTAACGTGAAAGTCAATGTTAAGGGTTAGACACAAGAGACGATAAAATTGCATTATAATAAATTCATTATTCATAAACTTGCAAATTTAATCTTTTTCATTCCCTTCTTATACAGAGTGATGTTGACACTAAAAAAGTTACTTGTGGCCTTGCACAGTTTAATGAAAGGTAATAAAAAATCGAATTAAAAAGAGAAGAAAAAAAAATGTTGAAAAAAATACAATTAAAACAATTCTTTTCCAGACTTGGATTTCAAACTAAACATTGTTCAACTTCAAAAACTTCAAGTGATTCCCAATCAACCATTTGTGTCTGTGATATAACCGGAGCTTATTCCGTACTCTTAACCAGTCAATACAAGCATCAACCTCATCCTTATCCCACTGAAAAGCAGCTCAATATACAGTCAAATGCAAGTCACCAAGTGCCTACTGATTACCTTTTAATTGCAAGTTTCTCCTTTTCCATTGGACTCATCATCTTAACCATGACTATTCTGATTATCCGTTCAAGGTAAGCCAAATACTCTTGACTTTTCTTCTTGTTTCAACATACATATTCATGGTAAACTGGATCAGAAAAAGTAAACAAAAAATAAGTCAAAGAAGAAGAAAAAAAGTCAATAGTTGATATTGATTCACTGATCAAGAGTAACTTGACAAACTACTTGTAATATCATTGGTAAATAAATAATCATGTTATTCAATCAAATATCAACTTTGAATATAACATTGAATCTATTGATACAATTGTAACATTAATGTTCAACAACCATGAATCTCATTGAATAAGCCTTTTTCTGGTTAACCTTTTTTTACCTTTTCTAAGATTAGTTTTGCTTCTTCTTCTGAGTACACAATTATGAAATTCATGGATTGATTGGAAGAAGGCTTTTGATTGATAACATCATTGTTATTCATTGAAAGGTTACCATGTAAAGAGGAAAAGACAATTAACCATGAAATGGAAACATTGAGCTTGTTCATGTAAAACACTCTCACAATTATTGGTCAAATGATTTTGATTTGATAAAAGTTGGTAAAACCTGGAAAAGGTTGGCAAACCATGAAATGAATAATGTTCAACTTTGTGTTCATTTAAATGTTGAACTATCATTATCATTGAATAAACATGATGATTGTTGCTCTTTTGACTCTTCTTCTTCTTCTACCCTTAAGACTTGAATCGAATGATGAGCTTAATGTTTGCTTTTCTTCCATTCATATAATTCCTTGATGTTACATTGAGAAACTCTGAAAATTTGTATTCTCATTCCAAGCTGACCATGTTATCATATTATGATTGCATTACAACTAACCTTGTAATGGATCAACGAGAGTAAATAAA